AAGTTCTTATATAATCAAATATAAACTAAGTTATATTGTTTCTACATAATATCTTTTAGTAGTTATACCTAGTTAAAAAATTTTTATTAATGAATATCTTCTATTATCCAAAAAATCAGATTCTTTAATAATTTTTTGCCTTATAATAGTAAAAGAGTTTTAAAAAGATAAAATTTTGATATTCTTTAACAACTTCTAGGAAAATATATTTTCAACTATAATCAAGAGTTAAAGTTTAGTATGAACTAAAGACTGTTTGGTCTTGTTGCTTGATTAGGATAAAAAAAATTCTTGATCTTGAATATTGCTTAATTAAAATAATAAAAGAGAAATATCTCAGTTTAAACAAATAATAACTTTTTTATTTGAGAACTTATTGCTTATATTTTATTGATTTTATGAAACTTGATTTTAAATTTATCTAATTGAAAGAGTAGAGTAGTAATAGAATATCAATCAATTTTTTCTATTACTGATAATATTATTAGAATATATAAAGTGACTAGTACTATAGATAAAGATAGGTCCCTAAAGAGGAAGGTAAAGATAAAAATTAAATATCTTTCACTAGGAAACATTAAAATTTTTAAATTAATAACTATAAAAAAATCATTTACAATTGTTTTCTATTATCCAAATCATTGATTTATAGTATTTCTAAATTTTTGTTTCTATTAAAGTAAAGATCTATGAATTTTGCCTCTCAAAAAGAAACATAAATGATCTGCAAAATTTTATATGCTAAATACTTTAAGGACCTATTATTAACTATAGATACTTGTTTGTATTTAGCAACTAATATATTTTGTATTAGCCAATTACCTTTGATGAGAATTTGTATTATCTAAAATTCAGAATCAAATTGAAATAAGCAAAATTTTTCAGAAAACTATGAAAATGAAAGTTTTAAGAAGATTAGAACTTTTAAAAGAGAAAAAATAAACCTTTTAACTATACAAAACCTCTATAAATCTTTTGTTTCAAAGATTAGAAAAGTCTTCAAATACTTTATAATCAGTTCTTCTTCCTCTAGAAACTTTTTTGCTATTGATATTAAAGGTTTTACTTGATTTTTTTTGAATATTAAAAGTCAAGTTTTTTAGTAAAAAGGTTTATAAACAATAAAAGAAAAATAAAAATAACTTTTGAAATTAGACTTCAAGTTATTTAAGAAAAATATTAAGACTTTATTAGTAAAGAAGTAAAAAACTTCTTGTGAACATTTTTTTTGTATGTGATTAGAAGATCAACAAAAAAATGATTCAAAATTTATATATATATTTAATAATATTATTAATAAGTACTTGAAACCTTTTATATTGAAGCATATCTATAGAAGTTATCTGCAGTGGAAGATGACAAACATCAAGTCATATTTCAAAGTATCTGCCCATTGTTTCTTCCGTTTTATAGTTATCCAAAATTTTTTTATCATATTTTGACCCTGAATTTTAGATAATACAATTCATTGCAAAATATAATTGATGAATATAAAACATATTAGTAATTGAATGTAAACAAGTACCTACTGGTTACCTCACATGTTCTAATAATGTCATTGGTGATAGAAAGAATTGATTGATGATTCATTTCTGCTCTGTTTCTTCAATTGGAATATTCTACAAATCAAGTACTATGAGATTAATAAGATATAAGTAACAAGTTCTCAGGTAGTGAAAAAGCAACTATTTGTTCAAGCTAAGATCTTTTTCTTTTATTATTCCTGTTAGACAAAATTCCAGATCAAGGTCTTCTTTTTATTCTAGTTAGACAATAAGATTGAATGATCTCTAATTTATATTAAGCTCCAATCCTTTGATTATAGTTGAGAATATATTTCCTTAAAAGTTGTTGAAGAATATTATAATGAATAAGGATCTTTGTTACTTTTAAAACCCTTTCACCATTACAAGGTAAAAGAATTATTAAGAAATCCAATCTTTTAGATAATGAAAACTATATATTAGTAAAATTTTTTTAATTAAATATGGCTACTGAAAGGTATTATATTGAAATAATATGGTTCAGTCCCTACTTAATTATATAAGAACCTAAAATCTATCATAAGTCACTTCTCTATTGCAGGTAAATAAAAAATTACTATTAAAAGAATGTTGGGACAAAGTATATTTTGGAATTAAAAGTTTCCATTAGGTGATGAGTCTCCTCAGATGATATACAAGAAGGAAATCAAGATAAAGAATAGATAAGTTTCTTAGACAGTCGGGAGAAGAAAGAATATCCCAATTGGATATTTCTTATTGAGAAGAAATCTTGAGAAGCAGATCTTTAGAGGAAGCTGGAGAATTTTATTTTCTTTTTTTCTTTTCATTTTTTTATACATCTACTTGAACATTTTTAGATATACCCTTCTCCTTTTTTCAATCCATTCTTTTGTAATTTCCTATATTTTAATAGCTTGATATAATATACGATAGTAACAACCTATTGACAATAATATAGTGAACTAGGAAGGTTTTCACCTAAAGATATTGTATTGCAGAATGAAATATTGTTTCCAAGACTGAACTTAGAGACTTTTATACTTATGATAAGTTAGTTAGATAGAATGAAAAAAGTTTAGCTATAGTATTTATCATGTTACTTAAATGAAAATATACTTATATTTTTAATTGATTAATAAACTCACAATCTAGTCTGGCTATGGGTACTCAAAAAATAATAATAATAATAAATAAAAAAGATTATAAAAAAAAACAAATCTTCAATTGAAAAAGTTTTTAAAAAATAATTATAATAATAAAAAATTAATAAATAGTTACATAATATATTAATTTATATTTTTTATTAAATTCATTGAATAATTAAAATTTTATCTAAAAAAAAAAAATTGATGTATTTTTATTTTAATTCTAATTAAATAATATTTAAAAGACTTTTTTTATTTTAGTTAAGCAAATTTTCTTGATTTTAAAGATTATATTGTATAAACAAATTTATTTATCAATAAAAAATAAAATTCTTAAATATTTTTAAAAAAAATTATATAAAAATAAATAAATTTTTTGGTTTGTTTAAAATAAAATAAAAATATTTTAATTGAAAAAAATTGATAATTTAAATAAAAAATTTAAAAAAAATTTTTTTTTGTAATAATTTATAATAATAAGTTATTCTAATAAATACGGATTATTAATATCCATCTATTAAAAAATAGACAGGAATAAAAGGCAAGTGTATTTTATTAGAAAACATTAAAATTTTTAAATTGATAATTATAAAAACTATTTAAAAATAATTTTTCATTGTTTAAATTATTAAGATATAACATTTCTTGAATTTTGTTTCTACTGAAATCAAGAACTATGAATTTTGTTTCTCAATTTAGTATATAAAATTTCACAAATCCTTTATGTCTATTTTTGAGTATCTAGTTAAGACTTTGTTTTATTTAGTTTGAACCAACTTAATGAACTTCTTATATTTTTAAAATAATATTTAAAATTGTTTAATGTAAGTAAAAAATTATTAAATAAACATAACTATTTTTAAATAAAATAAATGTAAATATATTTCTTAAATAACAAGTTGTGTTACTTGAAAAATAGCTTAAAGAATTAGATATTTCACAAATATAATAAACAATTTAGCATTATTACTTTTGAATATATTAAGTACGAAGATGTCTTTTGGAGAAATTAGCAAAAAAAAAATTTTTTCAATTATATTATCATCTTTAAAAGAAAAATATTTTATTAAAAAAACAAAAGTAAATTAATTTTCTAAATACTTAGTTTCGCTGTTTAATGAAAACTGGAATTCTTGTTAACCAAAATAAAATAGTCAATTCATTTTTTAATTGGTCATAATGCATTTTGAAATAAGCTAATAAAAAGAATTTTTTATTAAGGCTACCAATAAACAACAGTTATTCAATAGCGAATTTTTGTGCTGCACGTGTAAATGCGCACGTATTTATTATTTTCTTTTCTAAACCCCAAACAAGAATGATCTTATATTATTTAATTAGTATGTATTACATTTGTGTTTATTCAACATTTTATGTTTGTTTTCTCTCATTGACGTTCCTAGTACCACCAATTTGAGTTTTCTAAAGCCGATTCTAGCGATCTATGCGAAAGCGTCTTTCCTCTATCGAAGAACCATGCCAAGAGTTTTGTCAAAATCGGCTGTTCATACTTTTAAGGAAAAGTGTATTCTAGTTACTCATTTCGCAAAGAATTGATCAAAAGTACTAATGATCAGGGAAATTGGTAAGATATACACAATCGTTGATTCGCGCATGAAATCCTTGGATGTGCACTATTTAGTATTATTGTTATGTACAGCCGATACCTAAAATGACGTACCGATTTTCTCAAAGCGAATAATATCAAAATCGCGCGTTGCTTTATGTGTTGATTGACATGTACAATAATATTTTAATTTTGCGTTAAAGTTGAGCACTCAAAAAAAAAAAGTTCAGCTCGTCGTTCTTCCCTTTTATAATTCGTGAATGGGTTAACACGTGACACATTATGGTTGTGTGATACAGCATTTAAATATGCACAAGTATTCGTAAATAATTTAACAATCGAGCGTTAATTTCCCCTTGCCTTAATGTTTGCTTTTTCTGATTGATTTATTGCATATTTGTTCAACATCCTTGTTCCCAAAATTGAATTCTAGTAGGTAATCAGAAGAGTGCATAGACACAAGGCGCATTCAATCAAAAAACGTTTACACTCTTCTCTACTATTACATATACGCCACTGTGTTCAGGGGTCGTATATTAATATAGGAGTTTATTTCATCATATCATTCCTTTCTACTACATCCTTCATCTCTCCTTTTTCACTACTGTTTTTTTCTTTTCTTTCGTTCCTTTCGCATATTTGGGCCCTCTTCTTTTTGGTTTTGTTTTAGTGATGATTTTACCCGCTTAAATTGCTGTTGCCGTGATATATTTTTTTTAAAATAATAGTGAATGAAAGACTGATTGTAACATTACCACTGAGGAAAATTTAAAAATTGTGATAATGTCCAGAAATCCAACAAAACCTGTAAATGATTTGATAAAATTTTGGGCTTCGCAACAGGAAGAAAGCAAGAAATCGAAAGCTACTGAGAAAATTCCACAAAAGAGTAGACCTCTATCACCGAATGTTTCCATCCCTTCCTCACCACAGACTACACCTCAACAGCCCTCACAAGCTGTGTCTCCGAGATTATGGAACTCGACCGACGTTAGTAATAATGTATCGTCAAGCATTATACCTCCCTTAACTTCCGCACTACCATTACTCCCTTCGTCCACACTATTTGATGATTTTTCCACAGAAAAACCAGTGTCAATATCGGATCGTTTATTCGGTAGTGAGTTGGAAAATTCCAATAGTAATAATACAGTTACCTTGAATAAAGACTCGGTACCGGATAGTAGCTTTTCCATAATTGACCTAAAACATGTATCTGGTCATAAAGAACGCGGGAGAATGGATTGGGGTGCTTTGGAACAACATAATCCTACTCCCCTTGCCTCCTCTTCCTCCACAAGTCCGAATTCGCGTTCACCCGCGAAACCTCTCATAGACACATCTTTTCTCAGTGTTACACGTGACCTTCCGAAGGCAAGGGAAACAACAACACGCAAATCTTTACCACCAGTGATGAAAGTTTCTAACCTGGTATCGAAGTTTGAAAAAGTCGCGTCTCCACCAACATCACCGACTGCCTTGTCACCGACTAATAAGTTTAATCAAATTCCGGACCCGCTGTCTTTGGAAAAGGATCCAATGTCACCTACAGATGGACATGTGAAGAGGCTTCAACCAATTATAGAACCTTTGTTTATGCCATCCCGGAAAAGAAATATACCAGACGATGAGGTAGAATCTTTAATTGCAACTTCGCAACTTTCCACATCTCCACCATCTTCAAAGGAGAAGAATAAGAAATCAGCTGCCACTGGAATAATCGTTAATGTGTCTTCCACACAAACTTATTCAACCATAACATCTCCTGTGGAAAATTATATTAGGAAGGAATCGGTAGTTAGTAGAAATATTCCCGGACATTCTACCTCACCTACAACGCAAGTTAATAGAGATCTTCCTGAAGGTTTGATATCTTCGACAATAAAAAATACGCTGGCGAAATCACCTAGATTAACTGCAAGTTTGGCTGCTTCAACAAATC